TCATCGGCTTTCTGCACGCAGCTGTAGCACTCAGGGCTGAGCTCCTGGGAGCGAGGGCGGAGTGAACGCTGCGTAAGCCGCCTCCCGCCCCCCTTCCCCCAACGGAGAGCGCCCCTTCCCACGCCCTCGCTCCCCAGGACGAGACAATCCTCTTGCACATCCTTTTCCAGGGCAGGAGTAAGGAAAAGCTTCCCACCAATATGGGGTCATGGGAGACACTGTGTCCCTTTCCTTCAAGCCCCTAGGCCCACAGTGGGAGCCCTAGGCCCAAGGTGCCCCATCCCTGACCGGAAGCCCTGGGAGAACTCTGCCATGAATGGGGAGCACCTTCCCACACTTCTCCGCTCAGGACGGGAGGATTTTTCCCACAGAGCCAGTAGCTCAGTGAGGGATCCCTTCCCACAAGCCCCCTCTGCTCAGGTTGGAAGAGTTTTTCCCACAGGCCCCTCCCCCAGGGCAGGAATCGTTCCCACAGTCCCCTCTGCCCAGGATGGGGGACCCTTCCCACAGCCCCTTCTGACCAGGGCAGACGATCATTCCCATAGCCCTTCTCAGGATGCCAGATCCTTCCCACAGCCCCCTCTGTAGGGAGTGAGGGGACCCTCTTCCCTGGGGCCCCAAGCTGCCCCCTCCACTCCTCTCCCCAGAAGACCCACCTTCTTTTTATTTATTTATCTTTTTTTAGGGATGGGGGAGAGAGAGAAACATCGATTTGTTGCTCCACTTATTTGTGCATTCATTGGTTGATCCTTACATATACGCTGGCCAGGGATGGAACCCACAACCTTAGCTATGGGGACGAAGCTCTAACCAACTTAGCTACCCAGACCTACCTTGGAGCAGCATGGGCAGCAGCAGCAGCAGCCAACCTGTAGTCCAGATCACTGCCTGGGCACCTGCTTTCCTGGCGGGGTCCATGATGCGATCCTGCTCCCTCAGAGTTCCCCCTCGGTGTGCCGCCTCACAGCCCGGGTCCTCTTACCTGAGCTCAGGATGAGTAACTTCCCCCCAGGCAACCTTGGCCTTGCCCAACCAGGCCAAATCAGCGTCCGCTGTGGGGCGGGAGACCCGCCCCTGGGTGCGCCACCCACAGCTGCCAAGGAGGGAAATGGCGGGAGTCCAGGTTCCCTGACGATTCCCAAAAGAAAGTCTGTGTGTTTGGGGGGAAGAGGGGAGAGTGCTGAGGTTCACAGAGGGGTCTACTCGACGCTTGGCACTCACTACATATTGAATGAGTACCTACAGTGTGCCAGCTGTGGTCTGGAGATTAAGACAGAACCAGTGCCTGTCCTCACAGAGCTCACCGTCTGATGAGGGAGACAGATATTCACCAAATAATCATACAAATTGTTATTCACTGGAGGACATTGAAGGAGGAAGTGGAAGGGAGCTGCATCCGTCACCATGTCTGAACACAGAAACGAACAAGAACACTGTGCAAACCACAAAATGACTAAGCATTCCCATATCCTGGTTAATATATGTGACTGCTTATATATCATATTATATTATATTATATTATATTATATTATATTATATTATAAATTATATTATATTTATTGTACTATACTATAAAGTTACAGCTTTACTCTTGTTTCTCTTGGTTCATAGATAAGATTTATTGATGGCAGTAAAAATAGCAGCTGTGTTGGTTAAGATATTATTTGTCCCCCAGACCCCGTTGGCCACCCACCCCCCACCCCCAATTCCCAACAATGACTAGCACCTCAGTCACAGGGGTGGGGTCACTTGGCATCATGATGAGGGAGAAAGTGAATGACTGTTGGTGAGGTCATTCAGCATTGCCCCCGCCTCCCTGCCTCCCAGCCTGGAATCCCAGCCCCACTTTTGCTGTGTGACCCTGTGCTAAGTGTCTTCACCTCTCTTAGCCGCTGAGGTGTCTGTTCTATAATAAAGGGAGGAGTGTGTCCATGGCGGAGTGAGGCAGTGGGCAAAGTATCAAGTCTGGGATCCTAATCCTGCCTCTGCCATCTCCCTGCTGTGTGACCTCAAACAGCCATGTCTCCTTCTCTGAACTTGGGCTGCCTCCTTTGCCAAATGGGTCTGAAAACCCCTCTCTGGAGGGGTGGAGGGAGGCTGGCTGGTAATGCTATTATTATCGTGTGCTCAGACGCAGGAGGCCCTGCAGGCCCCAGCCGCGTGGGAGAGTTTCAGGGAGGAACCCTAACTGGCTGGACCAGAAGAACTAGCGTCTTGGGAGGGAATGGGACCCAGGGTGGGGAGCCTCCTCTTGCTCAGGCCTGCCCAGATTCTGGGCGCTGACCCCCACCTGGCCCCAGACCAGAGAGCAGAGGGAGGTTTGAACGTGGGGCCTCTGTTTAACCTGCTCAGTGACTCTTCCCGGCTCTTCTCCTCGGAGGTCACTGGAAAAAGATTTAGAATCTGGTCCCCGGATGGATGCACAGAGGGGTCAGGGTGGAGGCAGGCCCCAGCACTGGAGTTCACGCCGGGGCCTCAGACAAGCCTGGGGCCATATCCACTAAGGGTTTCCTGTCCCCTGGGACAGGGCAGGCTCAGCCCAGTGACGTTCTCGGCCTGTCTCAGACCCAATCCCTCTGGGATGTACTGTCTGGGATGTGTTAGAGAAAGGGTAGGGTCAGGGCTCAGTGCAAAATGAAACTATGGGGACCCAGTTCAAAAGGCAGAAAAGAGTGCCCTTAAAAGTACTAAAAATAGCCCTAACCGGTTTGGCTCAATGGATAGAGTGTCGGCCTGTGGACTGAAGGGTTCCCGTCAAGGGCATGTACCTTGGTTGCAGGCACATCCCCAGGAGCGGGTGTGCAGGAGGCAGCTGGTCGATGTTTCTCTCTCATCAATGTTTCTAACTCTCTATCCTTCTCCCCTCCTCTCTGTGAAAAATCAATAAAATATATATATATTTTTAAAAGTACTAAAAATAGAAATGCTTTCTTCCACCACCTCTCTGGGCCCCTCGTGGTGTTCAATGTCATGTTCCCTTGGGCACAGGGATACTTGTGGGGTGAGCACAGCCCCTCACAGATGTCTAGAGACCCTGCCCCACAACTAGAGCAACCTGGCTGTGGGTCCTCCTTCCACCAGCTGCCCATTGCCACGTCCCACCCTGAGATGCCTGACCCTGAGCTTGCCACGTACACCCAGGCCCTGCCGGAGCTGGAGGGTGGCAGTGGTCACAGGGAGGGGCAGGGAAGGGAAGGCTGACTGAACACGTTCGGGGGAAGTGGGAGATGGAGCCGAGGCTCCAATCCCCCCAACTCAGGCTTCACATCGCTCCAGACTTCACTTACAAAACACAAATTCAAATACAAAATTAAGACTTTCCAGGCAGCAACCACAGAGCATTCATCCTGAGGGGGCTCTTCTGACACGGGGACCTGTCAGCCACACTGGTCACAGGCCACGAAGCTGGCCCAGTACGTGCCATATGCAGAGGGGCTGGGGGATGAACTGACCCAAGAACGCAGACCTCTCCCACCTGGAGGGCCACCTGGGGTCACTGCGGGCCTGGGGACGAGGGCGCCAGCATTCCTAGAACTCAGAAGTACCAATTCTGGATCCTCAAGGAATCCTGGGACAGGACACCTAGGTCCCAGAAGGACAGAATGCCAGAGTTGGGGGGGCGGGGGGGGAGGAGACTGTCTCCACACAGTGACAGCCTAGAGTGGTCACTGTGGGGGAGCCTGGGGGACTGTGGTGCCGGGAGCCGGTCCATCCTTGCTGCTTGACACAGTCGCTGCAGGAAAGAAACATCTGCACAGCATATGTTTCAAGGGACCTGGCATATATAGCATATTGTTCTTAATATGTTTGCTCTCTTTAGCGCCATGTGTTTTAACCAAGGTCACCTCTCCGAGAAAGGTTGTTTCCCCAGGTGGGGATCTTTCCCTGAGGTTAGGGAGGGGATACAACCCCTTAATTAAGTGCCAGGCGGGTAGTTAAGCTACATAATCTTTACTCCCTGGAATGGAGATAAGAAACGCCCTAACCTTTGTAATAGAAATTGACAGGATTAAAATCGGCTGGTATAAATATGGATGTAACAAGACAATAAACATCAGATCCTGATCAGTTCCTAACCAGAACTCCGACCAGAACTTTGGCTGGAGATCCTGGCTAGAGGTCCTGACTAGGCTGCTGATCAACTGAAGGCTGTCTTCGTGTCATTCCTTCTTCGCCGACTCCGTCCACACCTTTGGGGACCCCTGGACCCGCTGGGATTGGACCCCAGCACTGTGGGAGCCCAGAATAGACCCCTGACACAGCCCAGGGAGCAGGGAGAGCTTCTTGGAGGAGGGGACACCTAGGGTCAGACCTAAAGCCTCGAGTTCTATGTCTGTCTAGTTCACCGTTGTCCCCAGTCTCGGCATCTTTTTCCCATCAATTTATTCAGCCATTAGACATTCCCTCAACAGCTAGTTTGCGCTAGGCCCTTTGCTGTGCATCCGAGACTCAGCAGTGACCGAGACAGCCCCGTCCTCGCCTTCCGGGGCTCCCATCCAGCTCGGAGACACTCCTCAGCAGTGATGACCCGGAGCAGTCAAGGCTGTGATGAGTGATCAGAGCTGGGATGGGAAGCCCAGAGGAAGCATCTGACTCAGCCACGAGAATCAGGGAGGGCTCCCTGGAGAAGGAAACATCTGAGCTAAAACTGAAATGATGAGTAGCAATTGGGTGGAGTGGGGAAAGCTGTCAAAGCAAAAGCAACAGTATATACAACGACCAAGAGGTGACAGGGAAGTTGGGGTTTGGGTTTGGTTTTGTTTCACTTTCACGGAATGAAATGTGCCCCACGGTGCTGGGGACACTGCAGGGACCAGGACAGCCCTGGCTCTGCCCTCATGGAGCTCCCAGTCTGTAAGGACATAAACCCATCACCGTGATAGCCTAGGTGTGCAGGGACAGGACAGGGGAGCTCCAAGGGGTGCCCGACCCAGCCTGGGCAGTCAGGACCAGCTCCCCAACTAAGCCCTGAAGAATGAGGAGCTAGCTGGTTAGGGTCGGGCAGAGGGAACAACATGTGCCAAGGCCTGGAGGGCAGGAGCCTAGGAGCTCCTAGTAATTGCCAAGAGCCCAGTCAAATCAAAAAGAGTGGAAGCAGGTGGGCCCTCAACTAATAAAATAAAATAAAATCCCACAGGTTAAGAACCCATGCTTCTCCACGCCCCTCTTCCTAGCGGTGACCTTAGTTGAAAGCCTCCATTTTTAAAGAGAGAACGGCT